TACTGAAACCGATTTATTTAGCCATGGAGGGTAACAACTGAAAATATGAAATAAACACACATGTAAGCTAAGACTTTCTAAAGAAACAGCATTGTTGTTGTTCGGCTTTTCATTTCGCCATTTGTTGATTCACTTGAAGAGCAAGTAACGTAATATGGGTCAAGTGATCAGTTTGATATCAATCTTTCGTGATACACCGTCATATTTACATTATTTGTACAGTACGAATGATTTTGGTACCTGGTCGAACTTCAGTTCTCCTCTGTCTGCCTAGCTCCGTTTCTCCAACAGCGCACTCGCAGGCAGCAGGTGCCCCGCCCCGCTTAGTGCTTGAGCTCGGATCATACCAATATTAGGGGGGATTTATGCACAGTCGTAAATCCCCACAGTGTGCACTATGTGCTTCGAATATTGTGTGTAGTTTTTTGTTTTATACAGTTGTCAGCCAGGCATCTAACTATGAAAAAATGACACTCCACACTTTGGTGCTATATAAATAAAATTGAACAGAATTGAACAATGGAGGACTCAGCCAAACAGTTGCCTGAATCTATAAGTTGATTAAGGTTTCTACCCTTTCTCATTTTTGTGTGATTAAAAAGAAGGATAACATTTGGTCATAAAGCAATATGTTATGAACAGTTTTATTCCTGCATACAAGAGAGGAGAGTCAGATGTTGGAGCACTGTGAAACACAATTAAAGTTACCACTCATAAACCACAAAAAACATGTAGCCCAACATCACCGGCTAATCTGCTATAGCATTTCATTTAACTATTTAGCCATTTAACAATTATATTACACAAGGTGGATTGTGTTAAATCAGCTTTGTCTCTTGAGGTTGAGACAAAGAATACTAAAAACGTGATGCACTGCCTTCTGAGAAACTCCCAATAACTCCAGCCTTTGCACACTGTAAGGTCTTATCAGTGGCTATAAAACCTTCAGCCCACTGTTTTTAAAAAATAATTTCTGTGCCTTTTATAATCCTACTGATCACCTTGTTTTATACATTTAAGAGGTTCAGTAAAAATTTGCTGCTTTTAAGAACGTCCACATTAGGCAATGTTACTGTCATGGTCCTGGGTCGGTGACCCAGCGCTTTGAGTTTGTTATTAGTATTTTCTAGTTTATTTCTGCTCTTGTATTGGTTGTTGGTGTTTGGTTGTGTTTATCTTCCCTACCTGCGTCTCCCTCGGTGCTCTGTTCATGTCCTCGTGTTGTTATGTAAAACAGTCTGTGTGTTTCCTGTTTTACTTTGTAGGGTTGTGTCTCGTTATGTCCATTAGTTCCAGCTGTGTCCCCTCCTGTGTGCCATTTCCTGATTACCTGGTGTGTGTATTTATAGTGGGTGTCGGTCTGTGTTCGTGGTTGGCTCGTCTGTGTTACATGGTGTCCTGTTCCTCGTCTGCGTCTCTCTGCCACTCACCCCATTTGTATGATCCGGTTTGTTATTTAGCTCACCCAGTTTAGGTTTATGTTCTGTCCTGCCCTCAGTTCTGTTATTTGTACACTGTAAATTAAACCCTCACTCATATCATCATATCGGCTGTCTGCATTTTGGGTCCTCCGTTTCCTCCACACCACACGGCTCACCCCGCCAGCCGTGACAGTTACTGTTTTTGAAGAAGTTTCATCTTTTAAAAAAGATAAACTGACAAACAACAGAAGCATGATTTACATCATTAATATAAAATTTAGACAGACTAAAAACTGCAGCAGTCAATTCTGAACTTCTTGTGACCGCACTTTTACTGAGGGGTTTACAGTTTGCAGAAACTACTGTAGAACCTCAGGGGCTATTAAATATTATGATCAGTGAAACACAGCTTTACCGCTTTCCTCAATGTCTTTACTCAACATCCTGCCCTCCACATGAGGGTAGCATGTTGCAGCTTATGAAACAAAAGTATCACATTCAGGTTTTATTTCATAACTGAGACCTTTTATAACATGAAGGTACAGCCATTCCCAAAGTCAAGAGTACTGAGGCCCACTTAAAAACCAGAAAATCCTGTGGAGTCCACCCATTGTTAAATCTTCACTCTAATTAAAAGTACAAGAGAAAGAGCAATGTATTTTATTGAATGTTTTATTCAATACATACAAACAACACAGGCTAAAAATTGCATATGCAAAACAACTAGGACACGAAGAGAGTAACTTAATGTAGGAGTAATGTGTGAAATCACAAACTAACAAACTCCTGTTACCAGTTTTAATTGAAGCTTTTTAAAAAATTTCCCCTTTTAAATAAATTTACATAAATATCTACCTGTAAATACTATAATTTCAAGCAGAATTTCTGTTATCACGGCTGTCATGGCTATCACGGTTATCACGCGGAACACCTGCAGTCCCAACAAAAGGCCTCGGTCCACACGTTGGACATCAGATTTTAACATTAACATGCAAATTCATGTAATTATTGTACTACAATTGGTAACTGAAGAGTAAAAAGTTTATATAAACATATAGATATAGAGACCCAACTGTGATATGTTAGTTGTTTTAAAATAAAGTAGTGACTTGAATATTAGAAGATTTATTACAGAGAAAGTATTAATATTTATTTGAGATGAAGAGTAATAATCTATTAGGTAAAAAATCCTAACATATCTTGTTTAACATTATATGATATCAAGCCAATGAAAAGTTACTCCTCCTGCAGCAGGTGAAGACTTCTAAAAATGCATCATCTACAGAAATAGAAAAATATTCTTGTTAAGTAACAAAATAGTTCCTTCTTAATTAACATTGAGAATAAATGTCAAACTTACCTTTAAAAGTGAAGGTCATCGCTGAGTTTATATTTTTTATTTTCTTGTAATGGAAATGTTCTCATACATATTTTCATCTTGTTCTAAGAAAACAAAGATTTGTAACAGCGCATGTAGATAGCCATTAAGACAATAATTTTGATTCTCTAATTTCTTTATTTTGCTACAGCAGATATGTAAGATGACTTTAGATTTCAAAAAGAAAAAAATAGCATACCTGTGTTTTGCTTCTGAGGATTTTTGTTGAATCTAAATATTTAAAATGAAGCATTATTAAAATGAACATAAACATAAACAAGAAGTGAAAAGAGTTCATTCTCCTTCGTGATTACTCTGAGACCAGCAGAAGATGAACATTAGCAAGTGACTGTTTGCAGAATATGAACCATTTGTTGAATTGTACCACTGAATTCTAGACATTTATCAAAAATTACAATAATTATGTATATTCAAAAAAGAAAAATGTTTTCCTGATGATTTTTCAAATAAATTCTGCACTTACCTTTTCTTATAAATGTAGTACCCTCCACCAACAGCTGCAGCGACGATGACACAACATGCGATTACTATTCCAGCGATGCAACCAGCAGCACATCCTGATGATTTCTCTGGAAAAGTATTAATAAAGATGATGAATACTTTTTTTAGACAAAATAACTTCTTTTTTTATTTGATTTTTATAATTTTAGAACTATCAGGGGACTTTTGATTGCATCGGAAGTACTTGTGTTTGGTAAAACGGTGGATGCACTATGTGTTTTCAGTTAACAATTGGCTGATGATCTCTAAAAGTTGATTCTGTTCATCTGGACATAGCGTTTTGTGGGAGAAACATTTCGTCACTCATCCGAGTGACTTCTTCAGTCTCAGCTGACTGCAGGTTTCCCCAATCTTATAAACAGTACATTTGCATAATGATTGAAACCAGCACACTGAAGGAACAATGGGCTGGGAGGTCAGTTCCTTAATCTTAATTATGCAAATTCTCATGACCATTGATCAATAACCAACTGATCAATGGCATGAGTACCAGTCACAGAGAGTTGGGGAATGGCTGCAATCACAGCATTGTAAGATGGCAAAAGATGTACCCTTTGGCCCCCTCCTTGATTCAGAAATGGTCTTTCCCTTTTCACATGTGTACATCCTCATCCTTGAAAGAGTGTTCACTGGCCTGTAGGTGTAAACAGACTGCAGAGTCCTGGCCTGACGAGGTAGCTCTTCTGTGTTGTGCCATCCGCTTCACCCGAGGTTGTTTGGTTGCCACGATGTATAAATCCTGGCAATCCTCCTGGCACTTAACAGCGTACACTATGTTACTCTGTATGTGTCAGGGGACCCAATCCTTGGGGTGGACCAATTTTTGGCGCAGCGTGTTTTGGGGTTTAAAAGCCACAGAGACCTAGTGTTTAGAAAAAATTAACCAATGGCTTGGTGGTGTTCCAGGGTAGAATAGCAAAGCCCTCTTTTCCACTTCTTCCATGTACAAATTGGCCATGATGGGTGAAACTGGGGAGCCCATGGCACACCCATGTTTCTGCCTGTAGAACTAACCCTTGTATGTGAAGTAGGTGGAATGAAGACACAGTTCCAAAAGCAAACACACTTGGTGGATGCTGAGAGTTGTCCTGTTGCTGAGGTTGGGGTCATCCTGTAATCTCTTACGGACTACCTCCAACGCTTTCGTGACTGGGATGCAAGTGAATAGAGATGTAACGTCATACGAGACCATGGTTTCATCTGCCTCCATAATGACATATCTCACCTTCTCAACAAAATCCAGGGTGTTCTGGATGTGGTGTTCAGAGCTGCCCACCAGCAGGTTGAGGATTGAAGCCAGAAACTTGGAGATGTTATAGGTGACATCTCTGAAGAAGTCACTTGGATGAGTGACGAAACGTTTCTCCCACAAAACACTATTTCCAGATGAACAGAATCAATTTTTGGAGATTTACTTTCCTGGATGATTGAGAATGCATCAAGACGAAAATTTGCTGATGACTAATTAATGTCTTGCTAAAGGATAGTTCGGCATTAGAAACAACTGTTATGTTATCTGAAGATAAACCTCCAAAATTTAGTTACACACCACCCTTTAAACTCTCAGTAGTACCATCTAAGAGTATAAACACATGCAGATACCTGTTACAATCAGTCCATGCACCGTCCATGCACCGCTGATGATGATGTTCTCTCAGTTATATTATTCCATGCCTGACATGTGTAGTTGCCACTGTCAGATAATTCAACCTCTTCTTTAATATACTCAGCTGAATTGGTGAGTATTTCTGTCCCATTAAAGAACCAGGTGAATCTGGCAGATGGTGGGGATTCAGCAGAGCAGGTCAGTTTTAAGGCGCCTTTCATAATTATCTTATCTGGACCTTTGATTTGAACATTTTCTGGTCCATCTGAAAAACAGGTAAAAATAATAAATGTGTTCATTACTTTTAAATTTCTGCATTACTAGACTACATATCATATTAGTTGTACCAATCAAAGTTTGAAATTATTTTACTGTATGCATGAACAAGAAGTGTAGACTGACCAGGCTGTTACTTACAATTAACAGTCATGATGTATGTATCTCCATGACTGCTGACAGGGTTGCTGATATTACAAAAATATTCTCCTTCATCTTTCCTCTTCACAGTGTCAAAGGTCAACACTCTGTTATTGTCAGAAAGGGTCATGTTGTCAGGCGGGGTCAGATCGGAGCCATCCTTCATCCAGTTTCTTGTAAAGACTGAACCAGAGGCCTCACAGGTTAAACTGACAGAGGTTCCCTCAACTGTCAGGTTTGTTGATGGTTTGACAGAAGAACCTGATATTTTCTCTGTTTCCCAAAAATAAAATATTAACAAGGAAAAATTATAGACTGAGAACAAGAGCAAAGGTAGGTGATGCACTGAGGGCCACATTTATACACTGATGATCAGCAGAGATAAGAAGTGACAGAGTACTAATACTTTTTTGATGTATTTAAGTAGAATTTTCAGATATCTGTACTTGGCTTAAGTATTTATTTTTCTGATAACTTTTTACTTTTACATTTTGAAACAGATATCTGTACTTTATACTCCTTACATTTTAAAAATACAGGTTTAATGGTATCATCTGTAGTGTTTATACTCAGGAGTTAAAGTGGGCCAGAGGGAGTGCAGGTGTCCACAAGTTTTGTTTGCGGAATTTCAATTTCAACCTTTCTATCAGCTCAACAAAAATCAGCAAACACACAAACTGTTTGTGTGAGATGAGAGGAAAGATTATATTTAAAGGTAAGGACTGCTCAGTGACACTTGATAAACTGTAAATTTAAAGCTTACATGTAATGTCATCATTTTAATCACATGTTGGATCTGTACATGATGTGTTTAACTTTGTGTTTTAGCAATGTGATAAATTCACACTAAAGCTTTGTGTTGGACTGAGACAGTAACTGTGGCTCCTCATAGATTAGATTTAGGTTACATCAAGTGTAGCATATGAAGCGCCTTGAGGTGACTTTTGTTGTGATTTGCCGCTATATAAATAAAATTGAATTGAATTGAATAGATGAATTTACATTTATGATGATAATACTGTCAAAAGTGTTCATTTAACACTCAAAAGTGTTATATTTAACACTCAGAGGAGTGGACACATATAGACACTCTCTAGTGTTAATTTAACACTGGAAATTTTAGCATCAGGCTTTCAAATGAATTAAGTCTGTCTGGATTTTTGGTTTATTGATAGGCTGGTAGGCACGTGCTCAGCAAACAGTAAGTATTGTTTTTTCTTTCATTTTAAAGGTATTTTATGTATGTGTTGTAAATATTTTATCTACCAGAGATTATTTAATGACTAACAAATTACACTTACCCAGCACAGTGATGGCCGAAGGCTGAGATGTTTGAGATCTAAGAGTTTTGTGGTTAAAGGCCTGACAGCTGAAGTTTCCACTGTGACTCATGGTAACATTCATCAGTCTGAGCTCTGATCCAGTATCAAGCAGCTGACCTCCATTCAGAAACCACTGAAACTGTGCAGGAGATCTGGATCCAACTGAGCAGGTGAGGCTGATGTCTGACCCTACAGCAAAGTATCCTTGTGTCACGATCCTGGGTCTTATGACCCAGCGTTTTGAGTTTTAGTTCATTTTGATGCTTATATATGATGATAGTGTATGTTTAAGCTCATTAGATTTCTATGTTCATTTGCTTATTATATTCCCCTTGTGTTTTCAACCCTTGTGTTAAGTCTCCCTTATCCTTCATGTGTTTCATGTCTGTTTCTTATGTTGTCAAGTCCATGTAGTCATGTGTCAGTGTTTCATTGTTTCCCATTTTATTTTGAAAGAGGTCCTATG